ATTAATAGATCAGTGAATAGATCGATGGGATTGCGTGTCGGGCTAATAGATAGAGGGGTCGATGCAACGGGATAGGAAAGTGGATGATAGATGGGGAAACTGGGGAAAAAATAGGAATTATTATTCTCCGTCGATACGTCTATTAACCTGAGCAAAAGCTGCCACGCTACATTTAAGGAGGAGTAGACGAAGAAGAAGAAGAAAAAAAAAAAAAAAACGTTCCCTTAAACCGGATTTGACAGACATAATTAAAAAAAAGTGAATGGCTCATGAAGAAGGGTATAGAACTGATCAAGTTACAGTATAAAAATAAGTATAGAAGAACCGATAAAAGTAAAATAACAAATATTGGAAATAAGAATAGAAAAGACGAAGAAAAGTAAATGGAGTGTAAAAAAGCAAGCAAATTAAAAGCTTTTCTGTGTGTGTGTGTGTTTTTAATCCGTTTGCTTTTCTTAATTTCATTTCATTATTTCAAACGAAAGAGGAAATGTTCGTTATAAGAGATAACGTCGTTCTATATGCTATGTGGCCTTTAGAAGCTAGTCAGACAAGCACAAGTAGCTAGAGCAGTTGATTTTGTCTCGAAATCAGGTTTTGGAAGAAAGAATTTGCATCTGACAAGTCAACCGCTGCTTGCGACTGATTTCTCTTCTTCGTCTTCGTCTGCCACTGCCTCTCGGATCCTGTGTATGTCTATCATTTATCTCAGCTTTGTTTTTTATGTTTATATATTCATTCCCAATACTAAGCAAAATAACTGGAAGGAGCGTCAGAGACAGAAACAACTTACGAGTGACGGACAGAACTTACGGAAACATAACCACATCTAAACAGTTGATAAGCTAAACGTCACGGAAATGTAAGTCAACCACATCTTCCCCTTCTTCAATCTACACGAAAACATTAAATTTAGTCGCTTCTCCAGCCCTCTGGAAGACCGCCATACGCTCACCGCCCACATCACGAACCGCAGCCAAACCTCACGAAACCTCGACAAAACCTTCCTGAAGACGCGCTTAGTTACCCGCGTGTTGCTGAGCATCCCGCCCACCGCCCGGATCTAGACAAGGCCGGAATTTCTCGAAGGAGTTGATATCCTACACCGGGGCGGGTGTCGCGTGTCAGCCGCCGGTGTCTGACGGAGAAAGAGACCCGAAGGACCTGTAGAGACTTCACGTGCCGGGGAGTACGTCGACATGTGACAGAGATCATGGACGCCACTGGAGGACGCGGACTCTCTCGCTCGGGCGCTCTCTCTTGCCGTTTCGTGTTCTCTCTTTCTCTTTTTCTCTTCATTTTACTCAATTTTTTGTTTGCTTTCTTACCCTGTCGGTCTCTCTCTCTCTCTCTCTCTCTCTCTCTCTCTCTCTCTCTCTCTCTCTCTCTCTCTCTCTCTCTCTCTCTACTGTTATTAACTTAAACGTAAGTGATGTACTATATACATTAAGCTAGCTACATATGAAGGGAGATTGGGAGGAGAACGGGGGGAGAGGGAGGAGGGGGAGGAGAGGGAGAGAGGAAGAGGGAGGAGGGAGGAGGGAGGGAGAGAGGGAAGAGGGAGGAAGAGGGGAGAGGGGAGGGAAAGAAGGGGAGAGAGAAAGACGCGAACAAGCAGACACCGCAAGAGCAAGGGAAACCGAGAGCCGGCCGGAGTGGGTGACGTGACTCGGCCATTCTTTGGCAAATCTTTTACTGGCACGAATCACGCCGCGATATCCAGTCGACCCGAGATCCGCGCTTTGACCTGTTTCACTTCACATCCGCATAGAGATGGTGACCTTACCCCTACGCCCCCCCTGCTCCACTTCCCTCCCTTCCCTCATTTGGCCATCTTTCTTCTCCCTCTCTCCTCCTTCCTCCTCCCATCTTCCTTCCCTCCTCCCAAGCCTCATCCTCTAATCCTTCCCTGTAACCTCCCTCTCCCCTCGCTAACCACTCTATCCCTTCCCACTTTAACGTCTCTCCCCCTCTCCTCTAACCACTCACTCCTCCCCCACATCCCTCTCCTCTCCCTAACCTAACCCTCACCTTCCCCACATCCCCCCTCTCCCCTCCCTAACCTAACCCCCACCTTCCCCCCTCCCTCTCCCTAACCTAACCATCATCTTCCCTTCCCCCTCTCCCTCCCTAACCGAACCCTTACCTTCCCCTTCCCCCTCTCCCCTCTCCCCTCCCTAACCTAACCCCCACCTCCCCCCCCCCCCCCTCTCCCCTCTCCCCCTCCCTAACCTAACCCTCACCTTCCCTTCCCCCTCTCCCCTCCCTAACCTAACCCCCCCCCCGCCTTCCCCTCCTCTCACCTTCCTCTCTATAAGCTTTCGTATCACTCTGCCTCTGATTCACAGCGCCTCATATTGCAGTCTGAGACGTAACCCGTTTCCCCGTCTAAGAACAAAACAAAGGTGAGCTGCGACGGACATGCTCTACCTGTCCGTAATGACTGTTGCCAGGTGTCGCCAGTGTGTTCATCTGTCCTGGAGATGGCGCGTGTGGGTTGTTCTTCAGTATCGGATGATGATGATGATGATGATGATGATGATAACAGTACCATACCATTTTGATTGTTTTTATGGCTGATGATACTACATATTATTATTATTATTATTATTATCACAATCATGATCATTGTTATTATTACCATTATCATTATTATGTTATTGCAGGTGGTGGTGGTTGCTATATTATTATCATTATCATTATTATCATTTTTATTATTATAGTTGCTATTGCAGGTGGTGGTGGTTGATATATTATTGTCATTATTATATTATTTTCATTATCATAATGTTAATTGTAATAACTATCATTATCATCCCCATTATGATTATTATCACTACTTTTACTATCCTTAATATCATTATCATCATCATTACCATTATTATTATTACTATCATCATCATCCTTATAATTATTGTTAATATTCTTCCTGTTTTCATTCTTATTTTCATAATTTTTGTTGCCATCATTACCATTATTATCGCAACTATAATTATTTTACCATGATCCTTATCATCATTGTCATCAACATTTTCATTATTATGTTTGTTATTATCATTCTGTTGTTATTATCATTATTATTATTATCATATCTATTTTCATTGATATTGTCGTTATTGCCTTATTATTATCAATATTATTATTGTCATCATTATAATCAATATTACTGTTCTCTATCATTATTATTAACATTATTGTTATCATTATTGTTATTATTGATAATATTATGACTTTTACTATTATTATTATGATTATCATAATTATCATCATCATACTATTATTATCATTATCATCATTATGATTATGAATAAAACTATCATCGTTCTCGATATTATTGTTATTGTTACATTGTCATTATAATTACTATCATATTTACTATTATTAGCATTATCAATATCATCAATATCATTTTTATCTTTATTTTTATTAGCATTGTTATTATCATTATTGTTATTATTATTATTATTATTATTATTATTATTAGCATTATCATTACAATTATTATTATTATTCAATATTGATGTTGTTGCCGTTGCTTTTATCACTATAACCATTATCAATATCATGATTACCATTATTATTACTGTTATCATCATCATTGCAATTCTTTCCAGCAACATCATTGTCATCATTATCATTATTCTAATTACAATTATCATTGTTCTTTTTGTTCTTCTAAAACTTTATACTATTACTGCTGTTATCATTAGTACAATCATCTGTCATTATCATTATCATTATTATCATCGTCATCATCATCCTTACCATAATTATTCTCACTATCAAGATTTTTATTACTATTATTATTATGATTATCATTATTATCATCAATATCGTTACCATCACCATCATTGCTATCATTATCATTATCGTAATTGTTGTCATAAGTATTATCAAGACGAATATAATTATAGTCATTATCATTACCATCATTACTATTACCATCATTGTTGTTATCATCACCATTATTATCATCATCATTACTATCATTACTATTATCATTATTATTAATAATATTATCATTGTTGTTATTATCATCATTGTTATTATTATCATTATCATCATTATAATTATCATCATCATCATTATTGTCAATATCATCATTGTTAATATTTTTGTTGTTGCTATTATTATCATTTTCATCATCATCATCATTATGATCACCATTCTTATAATCATTATTAATGTTGCTATCCTTAGTATCATCGTTATTATCATTACCATTAATATGACTACTTTTATCATTTTCCTTATTTAATCATCATAATCATCATCAGTGGATATCATCATTAACCGTAGATGTATATAAAAAAATATTTTCTCTTTAACTTCTCTGCCTTTCGAAAACAAAAGAGAGTAAGAGAGAGAAAGAGAAAAAAACACCATTTCACGTGCAAGACACACACGGATCCCGCTTTGCAACCTGATGTCTGGTCGTGTCACGTTTAAGAGCAACGAGGCAGCGAGCGCGTAACAAGATCTGCGAGCGCATTTTAACGCCGTTTACTGCGGTGGCTCTCCGGGTATTGGTAACAGGTACATTGTTGCAAAAACATAAGGAGAGAATTGTTACGAAAAGATAAGAATGCATGGAAATTAGAACACGTGAATCATGAATGTTTCGGCTGTTTATTGAGTGTTGTATCCGATTCATGTCTTTTAAATCACGTTTTATGTGTAATTGTATATTCAAGGTGAGGTCAGATGTGCTGCCTTCCTCTCAGTTCCTGTGTGACTCATTTGTGTATTTCGGAGATCGAGGACGAGTCCCGTGGGATGGATCTGGGAAGCAGCTGATCTATGTGGGTTACTTGGTCATTTTGGTTCCTGCCTGGGTTCTGCTCTATTCCCTAGAAAGGTGATTCACCGCAACATGCATATCTTACCTTGAGTATGTTTCCTCTGGACACCTAGAACACAGGTGACTCACCTAAAACTCTACTGCAAAAGATGTGGTATATTTTCAGAATGGAGTGGGACTCGCTCTCTCCCTGACTCAC